ATCCCTCTATGACATTCATACCCAGTTCCATCAGCAGTGAGTGATCAGACACATTGTCAGGTCAGCCCATGATAGAAATCACATAGATGTGCCTGGGTTTCTCTATCCATCCCTGAGTCAGGTGCTCCTGTGGAAGATGTGATGGCCACCCGCCCCCCCACCCACCCCCCCACATACCTTTAGCTGAACTGCCCTTGAGAGCAAGTGGGAGTAAGCAAGAACAGAACATGGTCACTGTCCAGAAAATTCCTCTATGTACCATGGATAGGTGGTACAATAGACAGGAGCATGGCATTGTGTAAAGCCTCTATGGTATCTCCTGGGAGTGGGGAAGCAGATAATCCACAGGATTTTTTTCCCTGCTCTGTCAGTGAGGTACCTGAGCAAGGCACCAGGTAGAGGGGTGGCAGGGACCATTAGGTGACTGTCTTCAGTTCTGGCAATTGGCCACACTCCTGGGCTCAGAAAACAGGATCCCCCACCTCCCAGTTCATCAGTGGCACCCTCCATTATCCTCCATCTCAGAAAACCCATCCTCAATGGTGGGGCATTCGGCAGGTTAGAGTCAGAGTAATTCTACTGAGCCTCATTTTTTTTGTTTGTTTTTGTTTTTGTTTTCTGTGATCCAGTGCAGTGAAATGTCTATGGAGGTTCCAGAAATGGAAACATTCAGGGTTTCTGTCCCCAGAATGGTTGAAATTCAGACAGTAGGTTTGTTTTCAGGATGGGCGCTAAGTACAGAACACTGAGGGGTTTTCTGGGAAGTGAGGTGAGAGGTCCTTTTCCAAAATAAGGCTACTGTGCAGATTGTAGGTTTCTTTTCTAATTAGGCTGCAAGCCTGTAAGGATTGTGAAACTCTTTAAAAGCTAAAGTTACCAGCATCCACACTGATAAAGTTTGCTGAAATTCTCTCTCACCTTTACTCTTGCAAAGAGGAGATTCTTTTTCCTCCAGCTTAAAACTGGAGCCAAAAATATTATGGTATTTCATTTCTCTTTCTATGTTCTATGCCAGGTCTCTGAATCTTAAAAGGTTTTTATCTTTCTCCTGCTATTTTCCAGTGTTCTCCCATAATCATTCACCTCAAAATGAACTATACACTGTTGCATTGGTTCATCTTGTGGAGGAGGTGAGTGGTGAGCACCTCTATTCAGTCATCTTGACCTTCCCTGACTGACCCCTTCATTAACACCAAAATCTACATTCAGAAATAGTACTAGAGGGCTGGGGTTGTGGCACAGTGGTAGAGCACTTGCTTAGCATGTGTGAGGCACTGGGTTTGATTCTCATCACCACATATAAATAAATGAATAAAGTAAAGGGTCCATCAACATCTAAAAAATATATTTAAAAAAAGGAAGAGTACTAGAGACACTTCATAGAGACAGTGCTGATGAGCCTCTGTAGTAAAATTTAAATGTAAATAATTATTAAAATATCTTTTAACCTTAATGCACATGCTTTGATCATTTTTTTTTATCTACTTGGCTACTTGATCATTGATATAACAAGGTCAGGAGCACAAATGATATTTTAGCAGATGCTAAAATCTAGTGTTGTATCTTTTAATAATTAGTCCCAGAAACAATTAGAAAGTGATATTGATACTGCAGGTTACAGGTGATAAGTTTTCCTTCAGCACATGTTGAAGTATAACATTAGAGAATAACATGGAGGCGAGCATAAAGCAGGGTTACTTTACAAAGGGGTAACATAGACTTCTCCTGGGAGGGAGAAGCAGGTAATAGCTGGTATTCTGGTATCCCAAGAAGTGAGGGCATTCTGCCTTTTTTATTTGTCCTAGGCTTCCTTTGTTCTTCTTTGTTCTTAAAGGTGAGAAGCAGATGGGCTGGAGGAGCTAAGCAGGAAAGAGGTGTAATTAGCATCTCCCTGCAGGGACAATCCCTTGGACAGCTTACCTTAGCAACTGGTTGGAGCATGGGCAGGTTATCCTGATAAGGGTGGAGGAAGGGCTCTGAAAGGCATTAGCATTTCAATCCCTCTCCAACTTCCTGAACTCACTCAAATTGGCCTCCTTGATTGACCAGACTTGATTTGTCTCTCTATACAGACTGCCTGTCTAATTCTGGCTTCACTATGATGACCAACACCATTGTATTTCACTAATTATAAAGAAAAGGGAAGTGCCTTTAGGTAATATGACTTGGTTTTCCTAAAATTCAAATGTGTTCTGACAGTAATTATAGTACATTGGGAATGAGACATAAAGCAAGTCATTTTAGGTGACTTTGCGTACTATGTTCATATAGAATAGTGCAACCAACAATTATTTAAATGTAAATAATTATTAAAAAATAATTAAAAATATTTAAAAAATAGAGAAACTTTCTGTTGATGTTTCGTCCATTGTCATTGCTGTATGTGCACATTTTGTAAAGTGAGTTAGAATACATTTTGGTGATTTTTTTTTTTTTTAATGATAGCAGTGCTTTTAATGTAAAAGGCAATCCAGTAGAAATCTGCAGAATGCAAACAACCTGGATATTTTCAATGTAAAAATAATGATATGAAATTCCTTTGTTCCTTTTGAAATTTGAGCAAGTTTAACATTTATCACTAACAAAGTTAGAACAATTACTAAAACCTAATAACTTTTATCATAGGCTTTTTATGTAAAATAGATCATGATTATATAAGATTGCTCAAATCTCTCCCTGGTTTGTCCTGTTCAATATCACAAGTTGATCCCACCCTACTTCTAGACTGTTCCATCACCAAAAAGGAAAAAAAAAGTTTTCTCCCTTAAAATGAATCACTTTTTAGTATTATACATAATTTACTTATTTTTAATTGATAAACATTTCCCCCCCAGGGTACTGCTGCATTTAAGTGACAGAGTGGAAGATTTTTGAGATGTTCTTTACTGATATATTCCAAGTGGGATGAAAAATGCCAAATACACCTGCTATAATGTGATTGATAAAAATGTATTATATAACTATATGCAAAACAGTCAAATAATTAGCAAACTACAGCAAATCCTTTTGGGAATGTGTTTTGATTTTTTGCTTATAATAAATTTTATATGTAGGTAAAAGTTAAGGAATACTAACTTAAAAATTGAGAAACAGTCATGGGAGGCTTTAATTAAATACCTTTGTTTTATTTAAAAAAAATTTATTAAAGGATGCACAGTAAATTTTAAGAAACTCTGAAATTTGTACCTTTTTAAATGAAATATATATTTGGAAAATATTTCAATCCTTTGATGAAAAATTACATAAGAAATACAAGCATGGAGAATAAAGTTCAAAAAATTAAAAATGAAGTTGAATTCTTTTAAAGTGTCTTAAGAACAAATGATTTAATCATAACATCTTGGCATCACCTTAATGTATTAGGATATGATTTAGATCCACTTTATATTCATCTCATTTTCACAAATAAATATTCTAAATCCAGCAAGTGAATTATTTACAGGAACTTCATAGAGTTGAATTTCTTTTCATGTAATAATAATTTTTTTTGAAACACAGTAGTTCTTTTTAGGAGGGCTTATAATTCCAGTCCTGTTATAAATGTGCTGCATGAATTTAAATAAAACATTGTCTTTTGGGGAATATTTTCTAGTCTCCAAATATGGGGTTCAAACTCCATGATCACCAAGTTTCCTTCCACCTCTGTGACTCTGTGACTGTGTCTCCTTCTTTCACCATACGTGATTTTGTTTTTGCTTTTATATTCATGTTAACAAATACATCTGATCTACCCTTTTAATTTACCATTTTAATATTTTTTAAAGTGAACATGTTGTCCTGAAGCTATGGTTAGTTTCAGAATTAGAATATCTTATAGTGTTTATTATTGATATTTTAAGGATAGGAGAGAATGTGATTTGCAAAGAAATCTGGCAAATATAAAGAAAACATAATGTTAATGTTTTTCCAAATAACAGTTTCATTATCTTCTTCCAAATATTAACTTAGATATCTCACCCTGAAGCCAATACAAGTTAGATTTTTAAGATGTGAAAAATAATCCTAAACAAGTTATGACTGTATCAATTATTTTACTCAAACTTTATTTCAATTTTTGTGAAAAGATTGCAATGTGAAATATATTATTTTGCATGTCTGAATAAATGAACACACACACAAAGTATATGTATAAAAAGAAGGCTATTTTTCTGTAAATGATTTTATTACTCAAGTATAGTATCATATATATCCAAGTATATTTGTCAATCACTTTTAATTTAAAAATGTAGTTTATCAAATTTACTGACAATATGTCAGGGGTTTTAGCCCCCTTTTCCCTTCTGACCTGCGGGAGAGATTGGGGGAGCACGCCTCAACCAGGACGAACCAAGAAAGGTAAAGGTTGACTGGCCATCCACATCCAGCCCTCCCTTGCTGGAGGACAATCAGACACACACGCCAGGGAGAACAGTCAAAGCAGGATCTCTTTTATTGAGAAAACACACACAGCCAATATAATGTACAGGAGCCAATCAGGGTTAAGGTCAGCAGGGTGGGGAGAATTTACATTTACACTCATCCTATAGGCAGTAATGGGAGACACCAGCTGTCCATTCCTAGAGGTGGTGGATTCTTCATCACAACCCATGGCAATGCCTTCTGTCTAATCGCTAGGTGCTCTCTTAGCCACATGCGGCCCCAGGACTGGGAAGCAGGTAGCAGTCAGCAAGTTAACTTTCCTCTTTTCTGATGCAACATGCCCCACATTACATCATGCCTTACAACAATATGCATATCTTCATACTTTGCCCATTATCTCATACATTTTGTGAAATTGGAAGAATTTGCTTCTAAAATGATGTGATTTTTTAATGGTACCCACACACATATGTATTATATTTGTTTATATCTTAAGAAATCATGGGATAATTAATTCATATGTTAGTACCAGAAATTATGAAGAAATATAAGAGTGTGAGCAGTTTTTCTTAATTACATATTTATTGTTCCAGTTCAAATTTGAAAATGACTTTGACTTAATCAGTTCTTTGTATTTGCAGGAATTTGCATGGTCATGTTTCTGAATAGTATGCCCAAGATCTACAAATAAGGTATAGTATGTTTTATTTTACATTTAAATAAATGTTTAAAACTTCATGTTAACATTTTAATAACCAAGAGCTATAGCTCATGAAGAAAATTATAAGTAGATTGTTGGTTTAGAGATCTAACTTACAACCATCATCTATATGTTGTCAATTATTCACAATTATTCTCATGTCATTGAAATCCTGCTTACATAAAGATGTCTATTTACTGGTTTTCTCAAGTATCAGTTCTTTGCAGTAAAATGAAAGTGTTTGCCTCAGTTTCTTTGTCATCCAACAGAGATTTTTTTCCCAAAAGTCATATGGAAATGTAGACACAGCAATTGTTTCAACAAAAGGACCTTATATAGGAATAAATTTTTCCAAATCCTATTGCCATAGGTAATAGAAGACAGGAAAATATGAATTTATCAATTTTAAGAGAAACATAACATCTAAAATCAAGGTGTGCAGAATATTAAAAGTCTGAGAGAATGCTATTGCTTTAATTTTTCTGTTGGTTTGCTGGAAAATGGATGGAAGTGGAGAACATAATGCAGAATGAAACTGTCAATTTTTCATGTGTGTATAGCTCTTCATTATCATATGTAATTGCTTATCTGAGTCATGAAATAGAGACTAATATTAAATTAAATTCAGTCATTCCCTGAGAATATAAATTGATAATAGAAATATTGTTTATTACTTTGAATATTCTGAGGGGAATGCTTTAAGAACAAAGCATATTGATATGCAAAACCACATATTTGTGGGGCTTTTTCTTCTCTGAAGAGATTCCTATTGCCTATGTTCTTGTGCCAGAGTAGAGTGCTTGTTAAAGGGAGGAAGGAAGGGCAGAGGTGTTGAAATCTGAAAAGTAAATGCCAACCTTTAAGACCTGGCTTTTAGGAAAGAAGAGTGATAGAAAACATTTTTTTAAAGGTCCTATTGGAGTGACCTGGGGTTTGAATTACAAATAAGAATCTAGTTTAAGGAGTTGAGCTTCTTTTTGCAAGAAAAGCTAGTAGTGTCTTAGTTTCAGAAATAAATTTATGAACACGCATTGTAATTTATTATTTTAGTCATGTTTTTGTTCTTAAGTTCTCATCAGAATTTTCAAAAAAGTCAACAGCTGGGCAGAAGAATTTGGAATTCTTTCAAGAATTGAATTTCTCAGCTGTTTCTCCTGTGGTTTTAGAAGGAGGCAAGATTAGATATGAATATCTTTTAATTTTACTTTTAAATGCAGAGTTCTAATTGAATATTGTAAAATAAACTTGAAGGTTAAATGAAAACTAACTGATTTGCATTCATGTAAACTGTTATGTTTCTTTAAAAAATACTCTAAGATACCCTCAGTTATTTTCAGTTGATTTACCACTAAGGGTTGTATAAATTTCAAAAGTACAGAGCAATATGTGTGATTTTTTAAAAAAATCCCTTCATTGATTTAGCTTGTTTTTTTCATAGTGCTGTATACCTCAAAATAATAAAAACTAATCATTCCCTTTTGTTAATTGAAATAATTAATAGCAAAAATAGAAAAAAATATCTTGCAATAAAAATACCAAATTAACCAATATAAAACTTTAGCAAAAATGTCTTGCTTACTTTAGGAATGTTACTAATTGGTATAATATAGGTAAATTGCCAAAAAAAAGTTTTATTAGTCCCTGACAAAATAAAGCAATGCAAAGTGGCAAAACACTCTTCTCTGTGTAATTCAGAGAATGTGAGTTTTAAAAGTACACTGCTGGAGAAATTACTCAAATGTTGAACTTGCCCCTTGTCTTTGAGCACTTCAAGTGTACAATGCAAGCTTACCTAGTCTGCCCTAAAATTGTTACAACTTCAAAACTATGCTATGTGCTTAGATTCATCTTCCCATTGCCTGAGTGCTTTGTGGTATGGATAATCATGAAGGCAATAAATCTAGGAGTTTTTATAGATGACCCCTTTATTATTGACTTTAGGAGAATAAAGAGGAGTTACGAATAACCACATCCAAATAATCAGAATGTGCCACTTTTCTACCTTTATCAGGATAAAATGGAGATTATACTCTGCTTATTTTCATTGTTCATTCTAAGAAGCAGTCTTCATATATCTATTTTTATGTATGTCCCATATTTAAAAGATAAAGGAATGCACATCATGTTTTCTTATCTGAATTTTTATTCTTGATTCTGCTGTCAGAGTGATGAATATGTATAGATAGGCACATTGCAAGAAAACTTCAGAGAGTGATGGAGATAAGAAAATACTTAGTATTCTTGGTAGCAGATAAATGCAAAGGAAATCTGATGGTTACATTTGGTATTCAGTTCTTTTAATCAGTGCTTGTAAGATGAGCTTACAGGGCTTTTTAGAATATTTAACATTTACTACTTCTTACAAGCAAGCCCAAAGGACATTAATGAAGCAAAAGATGCCTGCTTTGCCTAATTTCATCTCTACCACTTTTTTAATGCTTTATTTTATAGTTCTCCTTCATTTAGATGTCACTTTTATTTTATTACAGATCTTGGTTTCTTGCTGAGCATTGAATAGATAAAGGGGCTTTTAACACAGAAATTAAAACCACTTTCAATGTCCTGTTAGTTATAGGTTGCAATACAATCAAATGTAGGAGTTTGAACTGCCCATTGTTTTGAATTTCAAGTTAAACTTTCAGATCAATCTGGATTATCTCTTGAGTCTAAATGTTATTCTTCTTGTGTTATGTCCTTCACTTCTAATTCTGCCTAGACTATATTACCTTCACCTTTATAAAGTAACTTCTGGATTCTTTTCTATCTACACTGATCATGACTTAAGGCTGAGATCAAGCCAGGTTCCTATAAATTCTTCTCTATACATTATAGCTTGTCAACCTGAATGTTTTGATCCCTATAACATATGCTGCATTAAGGACCACACATTATAAGCCTCTTTTCTTCTAATTGCATAAAACAATATATTACTTTATGAATGCCTTTGATTTTCCATTGACTTTGCATTGTATTAATATTACCTCTCCTGATAGCTGGCACGTTTCTGGTAAGAGGAGCCATATTTCTGAGAAGAAATGAAAAAAAAAAAATATAGTCTGAATCCAAATAATCAAAATGACCAGGTCATTTTATATGCTTAGCAAAAAATAATCAGGAAAAAACGAATCGATAATTTGCTAAAACAAATGGTTTAATTTTGTTATTATTATTATTTTTTTATTTATTAATTTATTGGTTAGGTACTAGGGATTGAACTCAGAAGCAATAAACCATTAAGTCACATCCCTAACCCTTTTTCATATTTTATTTAGATACAAGGTTTTGCTGAATTGCTTAATGCCTTGCAATATACACTTTCTTATGAAAAGCAAGCAAACAGATTTGAGAATATTATAAACATTACTTTTCCAGAGATCAGATATTCAAAGCTACAATGAGAGGATAAATATTAATGTTTGGCATAGCAAAAACAAAGTTACTCTTCTAGCATTTTGAACTGGTTTTATTCTCCATGAAGTTCCATTCTAACTAGCCTTCAAGAATAAGCTTTGATATCACTATTTGTTTGGACCTGTATCCATATTTAGAAATTCCATAACATTTTACCTGTTATAAATATAGATCATTATGTTTTACATAATTGAATTAATTTTTATTCTTTGTAAAGTAAGATTACTAAGGTAGGAATTATTGTATTGTTTCCCTTATATAAATTATTTATAGATTAAGTACCTTAATACAATTAAAAAACTTAGAATGATGCTTAATAAATGCTAGATTTCATGAATAGTAATCACAATAATATTAATTATCAAATTTCTCATTTTCAGTACATTATAACACATACCTTCCCTAACTTTATACAAAAGTCTTAAGTATTGATTATCCCTTTTGAATTCCTGTGGGTTATTTAGAAAAGATATTTGTTATTTTATTTTCTGAGTCCTTATATGTTTCAAAATTTCTTTCTCATATGATTAAATTTAACATATTTTCTAGGATAGAATTTTGAAGCTGAAACTTTTCCCTCTTATGAACTCAGCAGATGGTTGTTTAATATATTCCACAGTTTAATGATATTTAGAGGCCAATCTAATTCTTATATCTTTGGGTGATTTTCCCTTGTAAGCTCCTATATTTCTTGGTCATTAACATTTGAAAATTCCAGGAGGAGATATCTTATATAGCATTTCTCATTAAGTTTGTCTGGAAATTCAATTTTTAAAATGTGATCTACTTTAAATGAGGAAAAATATATCTTTTAATTATTTGATTTTTCCATTCCCAGTCTTTTACCCTTTTCCTTTAATCTAATTCATAGGTGGGCCATCCCAGATCAATGCTCCATGAATCTCAATTGTTTTCCTTTATGTATTCTCCACTCTTATCTTCAATAGTTTATTCTACTCTTTATATTTTGGCTTCTGCAGATTCTGTGTGTTCTCTTCTACTTACTTGGCTATTGTATTCCTTCTTTGGACTTCTCTGTTTTTTCCCTTGACCATTAATTTCACAATTTTTCCCCCTTACTCACACTGTCCTTCACATTATTTGTATAGCTAGATCACAGTAGTTTACTGCCAAAATTAATCCTCAGATCTGCAGAGAATATGACATTTCTTCTATTCAGACAATAACAAATCCAACCTACATCCCAAGTCTCCATAATCTTGTTACCTAAAGAGGAGAAATAAATGAATAAATCATCTAATTATTCAATTAGCTCACCTGTTTATTATTCAGTCTCTCTTAGATAAAACATACTCATTCTTTGAGTGATGCCAATCCTTCCTTCTGCTTTTCTCCCTAAAGTGGTATCTGGGTATGTATGTGTGTGGCGTGTGGGTGGGGAGACAAGAAAGTTTGGGTACAGAGTTAGATATAGAGTAACTGAGAAGATCTCAGGAATACATACATACATATATATATATATATATATATATATATATATATTTTTTTTTTTTTTTTTTTTTTTAAGTGTGACTTTAAGCATTTTTTTAAAGTGTGACTTTAAGCATTGTGCCCTCTGTC